TAGTCAGATCAGGGACGGGATCTTTTTTCGGGATATTTTTTATGGGGCTGGGTGTGGGTGTATTAACCAAGTAGGGGACTTATGTCCGATTGTTATGCACCTGTACTTGTACTTGTATGAATCCATTAAATGAATAAATAAATGATACCTCGTTCTTGAACAATTCATCTTTGTCATTGTAGCTTTCAAGTTGTTGTTTAAGTTTCTTTCTTCACCAAAGAGTTGAACATATGAGGGCTTGCTTTCAGCATGGAATCTCCACTTTTTGTAGCTTGGATTCTTGCCTGGGTCCATGTCTAACGAAAACTGATCAGGTAAACTATCAGCATAGCAACCAAGCTTGCCCAGAGAGTAGCCAGTTTGGGTACGAGAATTGAATCAATGAGAGAACCGGAAATTTTGTGGCGGGAAAAGAGAGGAAATGAACAATAATTGCCTTCAATACAAGGCCACCATGTGGTGGAACTTGTAACTCCTGCAGTTCGTTGAAGGATTACGTTTCTCAACCGTTTCCCATGCTTACAACAGGTATTCCACAGTCTTCGTGATCAAATCTGAATTCTCTCTTTGTTATCAAGTTTTACTCATGACATTTTAGCTGTAGCTTGTCTTCTTTTAGAGCAAACTTTTGCAGTGCAAGAAACATGTAAGACAAATTTCATACCTCATTAGCTGGAGTTGCTAAGATCATGGGCAGTTGGCTTAAAGAAACCTACATAAGTAGTTACAGCAGAGGTTACCGCATCAAATAATGGAAAGAATCTAAAAAAGACGCTGTGTATTTTCAGTCAGAGGACAATCATAAAACAATAGCCAAAAGAGGAAAAGTTTTAAGAGAAAAAAAATGGGAAAAAATGGTGGGGCAAGCAGTCATACCCAGCAGCTTCAAGAGAAGATATCAGAGAAGCCCATACGATTCTGGCATCTTGATTTACTAATTCACTGTTATCACATGTGTAATCTTCAATCGACTGATGATGTTTAAACTCCAAGTAGTTTACTGTCGTTTCTTTCAATTTTGGCTCATTTTCCAAACCAAAATTATCAGTCATGCTTAAAAGAATATAATTTCAACTGATACTGACATTACACACTTCCTCTGAAGAAGAAAAGATTCTTTATCTTTGAGAATTTGCTCAAAACATCAGGAACAACAGCAAAGGTCCTCGGCTGCTTGAAGATGTGTTTTACCACAAGTTGTGAGAGCATCATCCCCAGGTTCCCTCCCCACCCCCGGGACTGTTCTCTTAATCCCCTTGAAGAAACTCGTCTACAGCCGGTGCTGAAGAGTTTTATCACGGTTTTTAATATAATGAGGGGCTATAAAATTAACAAGAGCTCTGTTTTAGGCTTGGCTAAATCTATGTATTACATAGCAATGTTGTCTCAGAGATGATGTCTGTGTGGTCTTGTTTGATTTTTACCTTTGCCTTGCTCAAAAATATGAAATTGTGCTCAGGATGACATTAAATTTTAGTGCATAGTGCTGTGATATCTAACACAGTATATTTAATGCAATTACTGATGATAAAGGAATTAACTAGAATTTCAATGATGAATGTAGAGCATGGCAATTAATCAAATGATCAATGTCTAATCATGAACTAGCTCTTTCTCAATGACAAGTACACAGCATTAATATCAATGAAGGTTACTTCATACAACAGTTACTGTAAACCACCATACCAAAAATCATGGCGACTGATACATTCACCCAGAACTCTTTATGCAATAAAATCCTGGAACCACTCATAAAATCAAGCAGAAAAGGTAAAAAAAATTAAAACCTTGCATACATAATGGAGTTGTTTTGTGAAATATTGCCTTCTACATGTGCCTTATTGTAAAATGTCCAGGCGCCATCTTTGTTTGTAAGTGGATTGAATCTCATAGACAAACACCAGGAAAAATAGTACACCTTTTGCTGTTCATTTATGCAAAATGTACATTAATTTATGTCAACATTTGAAACTATACGGCAAGTATACATTCATTAGCACTTCCATGAACTTCATTATCGTGAACGAACTTTCAATAATGCTATTTGCATATGTATTAACATTCAATAGCATCAATGGAAGAACAATTGCACCTTTCGACAACCAAACAACAAGTATACTTTCAATCTTGCACAATGAATGATTACTAACACCAATAGAAAATCAATTGCATAGTATGACAATCAATGGCATATTAGAGACATACAATAATGCACAAAGACGTATAATCAATTGCACCTTCAGACAATTGTTTATTTGATATGGTCAATCATTAACGTGAACTGACAAACATGCGTTTAGTAATAACAGTCAACTAAGGAAAAAGAAATTTCAAAATTGTTCAATTACATTGTGCTGTAATGTAATGCTTTGCACTTATCCTTCAATTTTTTCATTATTTAACCCTTTAACTCCCAGAAGTGATCAACATAAAACTTCTCCTTATAATATTCTTACGTTATCCAGCAAATAGGTAATGAGAATTTTCAAACTTATCAGTTAGAAGTTGTTATCTTGATCTAACACCAAATTCTCATTACTAATGTATAAGGAAATGTGTAGCAGCTTGAGGGGAGAATTAACAATTTGATCCTGAGAGTTAAAGGGTTAAACATCTTGTATGTTTGCGTAAATCTGTACCACTCTTCACATTTAGCAACTGTGATGGTGCCTATGTTTCTCTGCAGGACATGAAGTAGCAACTGAGTGCAGAAGTTACCTCGTGTGATTTCTTGTCATCTTGCCTCTGCTCTGTTGTGCATCTGTTCTTGTTGCTCTGGATGGCTTACGTCCACTGTTATGGCTGCTTTTAAGGCACTTATTGCCTGCTCTACAATGTTAAGAAATTGCCTGTATGGTGGTAGCTTTTTAAGCTCAAAATTAGGAACAGGAATGGCAGGATTGTTGTGGGCTGGTGCATTGTCATAAATGAAAATCACATGTTTATTTGGGTCGAGATTTAGCCTTGTCTGTGACAGAAATTCATTAAATTGACCATTCATTCCACCAAGAAATGCTGAATGAAAAACTAGTCCATTGGTTAGTGAAATTGCCAGTACTACAGTAACATTTCTCTCTTGCTGACCACATACTTGTCGATATGCTCTCTCTCCTATCCTTGCTTGTCGGTGACTTCTTGCTTTCCAAATATTTTAGCCACATTTGTCAATGAAAATACTATGATTCACTACAGCATAGCACATGAACCAGTTGGCACAGTCAAGTCTTTATTGCAGGACATAAGGGTGGTTTCGTTCAACTGGGATTGGCCTTGCCAATTTCTCATGATACAATATACCTTCAAGTGTTCTGGTTACTGTACAGTCATGGATTGTTGGTTTTCTTGGAACACACTGTCTCAATTCTTGATTTATCTGTGCTAGTGTTAGCAGGCAATTTTTGTTCAAAATGTCATCCAGGCAATTCTTCATTTCATCATCTACTCATACATGATTTGCTCCTCCTTGTGGTCTCTCTGTGATCCTTCTCTCACTAGTATCGTTCAATGATACTTCTTGCCGTTGAACGGTTCACTCTGATAGTAGCAGCAACCATCAGATAATCTTCATTAACATCTTCAAAGGCTTGAATAATTCTTTGATGCTGTTCAAGTAGGATTCTGTTTCTTGGTGGCATGATTTTCTCCGGTTATTTCTATCTACCTATTCATACAGCGTACATGTACTCTGTTTGTTACAGTGTACTGAACCTGCAAAATGTTCTTCATTTTGTATCTGCTTCAGCAAAGTATTGTGCAAAAAGGAACATAAAATTTAAATGATAATGTACCTACTCTTTTATTTTTGTTCAGTATTATAAAATACATGTAAGTACAATGGATGACACCGATGAATATTTTTTCATTCGAAAAACACCAATGTTTGTCAGTTCACATTAATGATTGACCATTTTGAATAAACGATTGTACGAAGGTGCAATTGATTGTGCATCTCTGTGCAAATTGTATTATTGTATGTCTCTAATATGCAATTTATTGTCATACTATGTGATCAAATTTCTAGTGGTGTTAATGATCAACCATTGCACGAGATTGAAAGTGTATTTGTTATGTTTGATTGTCCAAAGGTGCAATTGTTCGTCACCTGATAGTTTAGTTTAAGGGGCTTTATTCTAAATAGATCAAAAGAAAGAAAGTGGCATATGTCAATCACTGATTTAAATAGAAAAGCACGTGTTATAAAGTGAAGAGTAATTTTGCTGCAAATTTGTGCCCTTCTGGCTGAGCAAAGAGAATGATTTAATGCATTGTAACCCAACTGTTACTTACTGAAGAGCATTTGGAGACAGTACCCTATCTTTTATAAAAGAGACTAGATATATTTATTATACAAGTAAGTAGTTTGTAAGTTTACTTTCCAGGATATGTGATGTTTGACATCAACCATATATCAAAGTTGAATTTTTTTCGTAGTCCCATACATTTACAATGAATACATGTCTTCCACTGTATCCACATGTATCCATGTAGACACTATGAGATTGCTACAAGTAACATAATACAAATCATTATGAGGCTGGAAGAAAATCACAAGCTTTTCTTCATTGAAACATCGAGATCTGTCCTGATTTTTATTTATGTAATATCTAGTCTTGCATGTCCCAAACAAAATTTAAAAAATCATCCCTCGATGCAGATGAATTCAATGAATCCAGGTTGAGTTACTCTCATGCTTTATCATGCAGCCACACGAGATCTACTGGTACAGTGGAACCCAGTAAATAGGGACACCAAGGGGACATGCCATAGAGTCCGTATTATCTGAGTGTCCATATTTGGTGGGCTCTCAGAGAAAACATCAGGGACACATGGGTTATCAATATAAAGACCAAAGCAGACTGTTTTACAAGAAAATGTTGTTTAATTTCTTAACTGTAACAGTAACAGGTTCATCCTAAAGAAACCTCACAATCATTTATCATAGTCTTAGAGTAAAATCTTTTAAGTATTGTATTGTTATTGAAACAGGCACGAAAATGGATTCATTTGAAAAATTCTGTGACTTTATTTTGTACTGCTTTCAGTTTGCAACTTAGCCAAGTGGACTGAATATTAGACAGAACCTTTGACAGGTCATTTGCTGTTTTTGTCAGGTTTTCACTGGTAAGATATTCAATCACGTCCTCCAGGATTACCATAGCTTCTTTCAGAGATTTGACTTTTAGCTCCTTCAATGTGGCATTGACCTCAATGATATCCTCATCATTGTTGTCCTGTGGTAAATTCTGAGAGGTGGATGCAGATAGACTGGAGAACAATTCCTCCCAGTTAGGGGTCATCATGGTGCACGTTGGCGGAAAAGAATCTGCTTTTAAGGCTTCACCTGCTGAAGGTACATTTGTGCCAGATCCAGAACTTGCATTGCATAACAATGAATTCACCAGCACAAGCTCACTATTGGCTAGTTCCTGGAGTGGATCAAATTCTTGGTGTTCCTCCGCAAATGAAACTAGAGATTCATCTTCCAAAAGAAAACCAGCCTTTATAAAGCATTTCTTGATAGTCGATTCTGACACATTTTTTCCAGGCTTGGGCAATCCACCTAATGGCTTGGAGTAAATCCACAGACTTGGGCACCTCAGTGGCTGAGGTACAGTCATCTATTTTGCTGACAACATGAGTCAGCATCAGTTTCATGTATTTCATCTTGAATGTTTGAATCATTCCAAGATCAAGAAGCTGGAGGTTAGATGTACAATTTGGTGGAAAAAAAATAATTTTGATGTGATGTGATTGTATTTGCCTTTCATACCTGGAGGATGGCAAGGGGCACTGTCCAGAAATAAAATAACATTCCTTCGCTCCTGTGCTAATTTCTGGTTAAGCTTGGATAGCACGTCATCTAAGATGTGAAAATCCACCTTGGCTTTAGGCTGACTGAAGTATGAGTGGGGCAGTTGAGACATATAACCGATTGTTCTGAGGCAATGCGGAGTTTTTTCACTTGCTGATAACAATCAGATTTTCTCTACCGCCTGCTGCATCAACAAAAAATGTGCATGTTACTCTTTCTTTGGATTTTTTCCCAAGAGTACATAGCTTTGATACCTCAGCTAGAGATCTGTTTGGAAGTACTTGAAGACATTGACCTAGCTCTTCTATGTTTAAGATGTTCCCTAGGAAGTAGCTGCTCAAGATTTTTAGTAAGCACTCCTGCCAAGATGTTACAGTTTCCTCCCTAACACCTCCTGCCTCACCAGTTATAACTTTGCTTTTAATGTTAAACCTTTTCTTGAATCTGTCAAGCCATCCATTAGACATTGTGAATTTGGAGTCTCCAAGCTCCGGCTATATCCTGGTGTACTGGTCAATGAATAGAGACCTTACGCAACAGGACAGCAGAAGGGAGAGGACAGCAAAATTGATCGTGTGACGCACGTGACAATCTGATTCGTGAGCCATTTGACGCAACTTCCGGTTTGAGACTGCCGTCCTCTTGACGTTCACGACGTGAAAACAAGGCGACTGAGGTTGTGAGGAGAACGTGAGTATTTTTATCCCCTTATTTTAATCTAAACTGTCTTTTTCTTCGGTTATAGCATAGAAACATATTATTTCTTTAGTTATGAGCCTCTGTGTCTGGTGATAGGTCTTTTTACAAACGGCAAATGAAGCGAACTTGTTACGCAAAATGGTGTGTTTACATGTCGCTGTTTTCGCCTAATGAGCAATAATTTGTTATTTTTTGGGCACAAGTAGAAATGAATTAGTAAGGATTGTAAGCATTTAAGGTTTTCTCTGTTGGCAGTTTAGTAAAGTGACAACTTCTTGACTAACTCTCATCGTAATTACGGATAAAAACTAAGAGCCGGAGCCGTCTTTATGCGATAAAAATTCACGGCCCTTGTTGCAATGAAAGTAACAAAATTTATAATAAAGATAGATATAGATTAAATTTTAAATCGTATACCTTATTGCATGAAATGTTAGCGACATGTTAATTTAGCGATTTTGAAAATTTCCCATTTAGCGACACTTTAATTTAGCGATTTTTCGTAAAATTTTGGAACATAAGTCACTTAGTTTTAGCGATTTCACGAACTGAAACTTTTGCGAATTCAAAATATTTAAGCTTATTTGATGCGAAAATGTATTTGATAAAATTATAAATGTCATAACTTGATTTAAATATATATTAAAAAAATCATTCAACTTTTGCAGATGGCAACATTTTATCCCATAGACATACAGATGGCAAAATTTCACAGTGTACTCACTTTAATTTAGCGACACTTTCGAGGCGGCATTAATTCCAATTTCATGTAATAAAGGTAGATAAAATTTTAGATGGTATTAGTGCCGTTTCAAGGTATGATATAACTGTGTATATGATTGTAAAAGAAGTCCGGAAATAGATAGATAGTGGACGTTTAGATAGACGTTTATTAAGAATACCTTAATAGCAGCTGGAAGCTGAATTACAAAGGTGTACAAATTATATAATAGAACTATACAATAAAATCAAACCTAAAAGGGAACTAATTTACATATGGGCCCATATACAATTGTAATAGATGTCAATTAAAATGTCTTGCGCTTGCTGGAATGAAAGTATCTCTGAACCGATTTGTTTTAAAGGAAACTCTAAATGGTCTGCGTCGTCGTAACTCCATAAGTTGATCTCGGTTGTCAAAAGGCAGTAAGTGGTACAAACAATCCAAGGGATTGGAGTAAAGTAAGACGGATTGAATGCAAGCAACATAAAAATTCACTAATTCTGGTGATGGTACCTTAGCTCGCTTTAACTGAGTTAAAAAGTAAAGGCGCTTAGCGGCCCTTTTAATCATCTCAGTAACGTGAGTGTTCCACTTGAGGTTGTCTTGAAAATACACACCCAGTAATTTCACGACACTAACGGCGCTAACCTTAGAGCCATTAATTTCTATGAGATCGTAGGAAGGAGGGGAGCGCACGAAGGAAACTCTTAGCTCATTACATTTTTTCGGATGAAGTTGAAACGAGTTAAGTGTTGACCAGGTAGCTACTTCGTTTATCATAGACTGAGCATTGCTAGGACCACCCTTGCTTATGATTTCATACACTGTCGTGTCATCTACATATTTTATACAATCACTGGCTGATGGTACTTTCAAATCATTTATCATTACCAAGAATAGCCACGGTCCCAATTTTGTTCCCTGCGGTACTCCTGCTCGGACCGATCCCCACTCTGAGAGACAATCATGTGCAAGTTTGACCCTTTGTTTCCTATCTTTAAGAAAGGCTATTATCCAATTAATGATGTAAGGGTTGATATTGTAGGTCGAGAGTTTCGATAGCAAGAGGCTGTGATCTATCAGATTGAAGGCTTTTCTATAGTCCAACGCAAAGATCCGCACGGTGTTCCCCGTTCCGTCTGTTGCTTGCGCCCAATTGTGCATCAGGTTTATCAATGCATGCGCAGTGGAGGATCCTGGAATACACCCAAATTGATCGGGTTCCAGGCGTTTCAGAAGTGCTGGTTTCACATGTTCATGGACGACGTAGTGCTCGGCAATTTTGGACAACATTGGTGTCAGTGAAATAGGTCTCAAATCTTTCGCCGCATCCTCAACTATCTTTGTTTTGGGAAGAGGGGTGATGTTTGCACATTTCCAAATGTCCGGTAAAGTCCCTTGACTAATCGAGGAATTGATGATACAACGAAGAGGTTGAGCGAGCTCAGGAGCGAAGTCACGCAAGACCCAGTTTGGGATATTATCTGGGCCCCCAGCTTTGGAGGAGCTGACCGTACTAAGGCATTTGAAGGTAGCTTCCAGTGAAATAATGGGAGTTTTAAAACCCTTAGTGCTCACAGTTTCGATATTATCTAAAAGTGGGTCAAACGAAGCTTGAGGTTCTAGCAGAGCTGTGTTGATTTCATTAGCCAAGATCTTAAGGTTGATTGAGGTAGCTGGTTTACTTGCTAGGAGCTGATTTGCGACACTTGTAGATGTTTTGTTCATTCCACATAACCGCCTACATTCGGACCACCACATTTTAGGATTGTTTTCGGTCAAAACGCTGACTTTAGTGTTGTAATAAGAGCGTTTGCAGAGCTTCCGTTCCCTGTTTACTTTGTTCCAGTAGTAGTGGAACAATGGTTTGTTGTCTTGGTAATATGCTCTTTGGCGGTGTGCTATAAGTGCCTTGAGTTTGGGTGAAATCCATGGTGCGTCGTTTCGGTGGAACTTAACTAGCTTTTTGGGAAGGATAGAATCTAACCCTATGTGAATTAGGTCACTAAAGTGAGCATACTGTTCTTGGACGCTATCTATAGTGTCGATTAATGACCAGTCGACCCCCGTCATATAACGACCAAAAGCCTGTTTGGACTCAGCGTTAACGGCACGTGTAGTAACCGTTCTGTTTGCAGGAAAATTGGCCTTCGATCTAATTTTTGGAAACAAACCAACAGTACAATGATCGGATAGTCCGAAGGGCGGGAATGGAGAAGGTTTCTCGTAGTGTTCTGTAAGATTAGTTAGCACTTTGTCGAGTGTACGATCCCCTCTTGTTGGAAAATGGACGACTTGCGTGAGGCAGAACTGCTTAATAAGTGGTGAAACATTTGCCCTGTTCCAGTCGCCAGCGAGAATTATACCTGCGCCAGGGATATCACTCTCTATCCTAGAGAGAGAATCCATCATGTAATCAAGGAGGGGCTCATCTTTGGCAGGCGGTGGAGGATGGTATACTGTACCAATGATAAGGCAGCTATAACCCCGGGGCAATCGGTTGGGCGTGATTTTGGCCCACAAAACCTCAGGTCCCTCGGGGTCAGGAAACTCATAGTCCCGTAGAATTGAGAATTTGATGGAATCTTTTACATATAGAGCCACACCCCCATGTAGCTTGTGGGTCCTATCTTTGCGTATGATGTTGTAGCCACTAATGTCAACTACGCTGTCATCAATAGAATCTTTCAGCCATGTCTCCGTTATACAACAAAGATCAAACTCGTGGGTGTTCAAAAAAATACGAAGTTCGTCTATTTTTGGTGCCAAACTCATTACATTAGACACAGCTATTGACGGTACGAACTGCAAGGTGTTTTTCCTGGCGTCGATGTTTCTCTTAGGCTTGATAATAGCCAGATTATTGAAATTGACGGCTCTTTCTTCTGTGTAATGGCTGGAGGAAACACGTGTAGTTACTCTCACGGGAATTGTTGAAAGTCTCGGTAAAGCGTGATTATTGAACCATAAAGATTTATTCAAGATGGAAGAGTTATAGCAATTAACAGTTCTTGGTCTTGTGTAACTACTGGAGATGGCGCGGGATGACTAAGGAGACAAACCCGTGTTTAGTGTGCTTCTGCATTGGAACTCTTGATCGATGAAAACCATCTTTGACGATACAAGTGCATTTCTTCTTGAGTTGAACAGCAGTGTGCAGGGGTTCCCACCTTGATTTAAAAGTAGCCTCGAAGGATAATAAATGGTTTAGAAATGCAGCGCTTAAACAGGATAGAATAGTGATAGAAACTAGAGCTACTCTAAACGTGGCCGCCATGATTGGCGCAATAGGACAGCATACTCAGTGTTCGCCTTGTAGGGGCCCATTTTCTTTATGTCTAAGTTTGTTTCTTTACTGTTGTGCAGTAATTTACAACTTGATTAATTATGAAAACTACTCTGTTGTTGGCCTTCATAATTTCAAACCTTTGTATCAGCAAGCTAGCTGCTGCCACTCATATGAAGTTTAAAATATTCCTTTTCACACTGGTCGTACTGTACTCCTTATAAAGTCCATTCAGGCTAACAAAAACTGTTTATATGTGTTCATATATGTATTTTTTAGCTGCACGATCATGAGCCACATAAACATTTTAATTACTATGTGTTATTTATTTATTAATCATAGCTCTAACAAAATTCTCAATTTTTATTGGTTCTTCTTTTACAAGAAATTGTGGTGTCACAGCCTTACAAATTCAAACCATCAACAAGAGATAGAGGGCAAGTGTGGGAGGGCATTACGGCAAGGCTAAATGCCACAGAATTATTCCATGATCGGCTCTGTAACAAGAGAGCAGTCAGGGACAGGTATCAATTACTTTCAAAGAAATTCAAGAACAAAATGGCTGAGGAAGAACGAGCAAGTGGGATATCCCCTGAGATGACAGAAACAGACAAGTTGCTGGAACAGATAGTGGAACAGTTTGAGGAAAGTGAAAGAGACGCCGGAGAACAGTCAGAGAAGAATGACCAAAATAAGGAGAATGAAAGGAAAAAGGCAGAAGAGATGAGAAACAGGTCGATGGAGAAGCTGGGGGAGACTCAGAAAAGAAAGGCAACAGCTGAGGATGGGCAACAAACAACACCGAGAAAGAGATCATCAGGATCAGAAACCCTCGTGTATTTGAGGGAAAAGGCAGAACGGGAGTTTGAGCTAAGACAAGAGGAATTAGAAGTAAAAAAGAAAGAACAATCTGCACAACTTCAGATGTTCCAGTATATGCAACAGCAACTGCAGCAACAGCAACAACAACAACAACAGCAAATGCAAGTTCAAATTCAGCAGCAGCAACTGCAAAATCAAATGCTCTTGGCACTTATTGAGAAAATCACCAAGTAAAAAGTGTTCTTTAAGACTCTGTAAGATTTCAAAGTTTCACGTTTATTTAAATCATTCGCATTTTATTCTATATATATATATATATATATATATATATATATATATAAAAACATTTACATTTTTACATGTATGCATATATAACTTAATTATGTATTTTTGCCAATTTTATCTTGGCTTTTATGATCTTCTGTGAGCTGTAACAGATTGTGTATAATCCAATGTATCTATCAGCTGAGACATTTAATATTATTCCATTGTACAAAGAGCAAAATAAGACTAACAGTGAGTTAATTGTCTTTTAATTCAAGAAATTTAATGGTTAAGAAAAATGCTTTAAAAATGCATTTATAATTGCTTTTCAGTATTTATAAAGTTAACTTCAGAATTTTTTAAGCATGCCCAAACTTAAATTGTCAAATTCACATGTACAGTGAAAATATATATCAAGTAAAAATTTTGAGCAGGTTCATAAAACTGATAAAAATTTTAAAAAACTGGATTGGTTGGACAATTCTATAGATTATAGGATCCAAAATGGTCCTTCACAAGCCTGTATGAGCCACTGAAATCTTGACAGGGCATGCAACAATGATTAGTTATACCCTCCCCCCCCTCCCTCCTCTGGGCACATTGACCCATATCTTACAAGAATCTCTGATAACATTTCCTTAAATAAAGTACTGGTCTAATGGAGGCGGTTCAACACCAAAGAAAGAAGAAGTTGTCGACCCATATGTACATGAGTGGGCATTTCTCAACAGGGCACAAATGATATACATTTTTCCTACTGCACTGAGTCCAACCTTAAGATTTCTTTTAAAATCTAAAAACGAAAAGTACTCTAAAATGTCACCAAAAACCCACTCTACTGCTGTTCTTACTTTACTCATCGATTTGTTAAACAGTTGCTGTGGTGCTGTTAGGGCAGCACCCTTAAATGGACCCTGCAGGTGGACCCTCAAGGGGTATGCAGGGTCACCATATAAACATAACGGTTGGCCTGTTGGAGATATACAGTGAGCTTCTAACATTGGCAACAAACCAGACATGGCTAACATTCCGCTGTCGTGTCTGCATCCTTCCACAGGTCCAAAAAGGTTTACGATCAGACCATTTGGTGCAACTACACTTTGAAACTTTATCGCATGCACTCTCTTGTGGCCATTGTACGATACTCTTTGGTTTTCGCCAGGCCTAGCAACTGGTCGTACAGTTCCGTCTATAAATCCCCAACAGTTGTCAAGGGCGGCTCCTTTATTGTAGATAGCTTCTGCAAAATCAACTAGATTTGCTTGTGATAGCCATGGCTGATTAATACCAGAAAACAACTGTCCGAAGCGGGCATAAAGAATATCCATCATCTCAGACACCACCATACATAATTGCGGTACAGGCCTTCCAAATCGGGGAACAAGGTCTTCGTACCTGCATGGAAAGGCAAAACGACGCAGAAGCAAACATAGCGCTTCATCACTGTAAACATAAAAACGATTTGGGCAGGTAATTTTGTCAGGAAGATCCAGAACGTCGAGCAGATTGTAGATATCATGTTTTAAGAAACGGAATTCGCTTTTGCATTCGTCGTCGGAAAGAGAGTCCAGATTGAATTTTTCGTACTTCCAGTAAGGAATGTCAAGATTCTTTGAAGTGTTAACGTCGTAGAGTAACAGCATTTCTTCATCGGCGATGAAATCCAAGGCATTTGCAAGCAAAAGAGCCTTTCTTGCTTCCCTGAAGGTGGCCATTTTTCCTTCGGGGCCTGTGCATGTCGCGTTGTATTGCATAAGGTTTGTTTACGTTTAGGACGGCAACGTCAACCCTCGCGTGCTCGAACCAGTACTCGCGCGGTCCACGGTCGCCGTCCTCATTCTGCCGTCCTGTTGCGTAAGGTCTCTAATATATGTCCTGGTGTGCCAGTTAACAAAACTTGCATGACATCAGTCAATCAAATGATAACGTGATAGCTAGATAATGTGATAATTAATAAATGCTTTGATAATAAAATGCTGGCACTGGTTCATGGTTGGGCTATTTGGGTTATTTGGGCTGGTTGGATCTTTTGGATTGGTTGGTTCATTTGGATCAGTATACTTACTCCCTGTAAGTGGAAAGATGGAAAGTATAACTTCCAACAGTGGACTAAACACTCCAAACACTCCAGTGTTGTATTAACGCGCTTTATTTAAGAAACGATGTTGTAGTTGCAGTTGTTCAAAGTGGTTAAAACTAACATACAAACAAAGAAAAGAACGTTACAAAGTGAACTAAAATGCAACAGAAAGTTGGACCAAAGCAACACTTACATTTGTTAGGAGATGGGAAAAAACTACTCTGGAGTGGCGATGGACTGTAACGTAAAATCTGGCGGCCATAGGGTGAAAAATGACCTCTTGGAAATGGCAAGTGAAAAAATTGACCTAAAAAGGCTTACACGTCCTTTAGATACTAACGAATATATTACAATAAATTACTTGACTAACACACTAAAATACATTCGACATGCATGATGAACTAACATACAAATATCCTAAAGGACAAAAATGGGTGTTTAGTTCTTTACACTGGCCCCTAAGTGATGAGCCATGGGCAAAAACACTTACAAACATAATATTCAACTAAACAGCTACTTACACTATTTACAATAATAAACAAAGATATACAAGAAGACATGCATGATGCTAACACACATGAAGCAAAACCTACTATGAAGCAGATAAAACATGAAACAGTATTGCGAACACATTATTTGATCGTGAATTATTCAATATTAAGCATAACACCGTTCTGTTTAATCTGGTAGAATCCTGATGTTCGATCATAAGACAGCTTGTCGATCAGTCTTTCAAGAGTTCCAGATTTAACCTTGACTTTGGCATGATGCACCAGGCTCTTCTTGTCATGGAAAGCTTGAACTACTTTACCCAGGGGCCATGAATTGTGATAGGAGTTTTCCACAGCAATGAGCACAACATCTCCAATGGGTGTTTTTTTCTTCTTGGATGCAGCCACTTCTGCCTGCTTTGTGAAAGAGGAAGATACTCTTTCAACCATCTTTTCCAAAAGATATCTGCAAGGTACTGAACTTGTTTCCACCTTCGATGGGACAACAGATCTTCCTTATGGAACAAACCTGGAGGTATTGGGGGCTTGGAGCACAGCAGCAGCAAATGGTTGGGTGTTAAGGGTTACTTGTCCGGCAGGTCACTGAAAACTGTTTTAATTGGACAGCTATTCATAATACTTTCAACTTTGCACATGAAGGTCGTGAGACTTTTGTCATTGTGGATTTGCTCTTGGAGGAGGGCTTGCAGAATTTTCCACATGGTGCAAATGCAGCGCTCCCATACACCACTGATATGTGAGCCATGAGGAGCTTGTGATGCTCTTTCTTGCCACTGGTGAAATTCGTTCCGTTGTCTGAATGAATCTTCTGGACCTGACCTCTCCTTGCTATAAACCGTCTTAGGGCTAGCAAAAAAGAATCCATATGCAGGGCTTGAATCGTGAGACAAGTGAAAATGACCCCATATCTCTTAAGCTGGCTTCGACAATGCCATATTTGAAAGGGCTAAAGTAATCAACACCGACTGATGTAAAGGGTGGCTGGTCCATGGTGAGACAATCCTCTGGAAGATCAGCCATCTTCTGTTCACATTCATGGCTTTGGTGCTGCCAGCAACTTACACACCTTGACAACACTGTTTTGACAGCGGAGCCTGCCATTACAATCCAGAATTGTTCACACAGTAGGCTAATTACATGTTCTTTTCCAGAGTACCTAGAAATATGGTGACAGTGTTCCACTATCAGGTTGGATACATGATCGTTCTTTGGTAGAATGATCTGGTGCTTGGCATCAAATGGTATTGAGGCTAGACTCTCCCACCAACACACAGTAGGCCAGAAACCAAGCAATAGATTTCTTCAGGCGATACCAAGAGGACGCTCTTTGGAAATATCTCGCCAAAGGGCCAAAGAACTAAGCAGTCAGGTAATGGCAAGTCAATCTCTCTCTTCAAAATTTTGTCTCACTGTACAGAAATTGTCTTGGCTGACAGCTCTAAGCCAGGAACTGTGACTTGCCTAAGCGGCTCCAGGGGGGAATTCCTTTGAAGGATGGTACAATGAATTCTGCCGCATCTATCTTCCACTCATAGATATGACACTGATCCGCAGCCAATTTCAGAGGCATCAGAGAAGTGGTGAAGCTGACTGGACACAATCTCCATAAAGTCGGCTGGTTTGAAGCAACAATCAATCATAAACTGCGACAGTTTAGGAACATCTGAAAGCCATCTTTGCTAGTGCGTGCAATGCTCTGTTGACACTTTGTTATCTCAGCCTAATTTTATTCTGCATAAATCTTGCAAAATCTTCTTGCCAGTCAGTATGAAAGGTGCAACAGAGCCAAATGGATCAAAGACTGAACCAACAACAGACAATATGCCTCTCTGAGAGGGGGGTTTGTGCTTGAGACTAACATTGAAACCAAACATGTCATTTTCTATCCTCCACTGAACACCAAGCGCGTGCTAATCTGGCAACTCATCCTTTTAAAGGTCTAGCTTCTTGATCTCTTGGCCATGCTCCTGCATGGGGATACTTCCCCTAACATCTTGGCTACTTAGTGGATCGAAAATCACCACAATGCAACAAGCTGGACAATTCATGAACATGGATGATAGCAACTGTTACTGACAAGAGGGACTTTCAACAGTCGTGGACATAAAAGTTGTGTCTGATGGTATTTATCATGTCACAAGGGAAGTGCTGCTCATTATCATCCAACATTTTCCGAAGGGCGAAGTTGGCACAGGCTGATGATGACACAGTGCCAAAAAGATGAAAAGTCATCTGATATTCTGCCAAAGCATATGATAGGTCACCGTCTGGCCACTACAAAAAGCAAAGAAACAAACAGTTGCAATTGGGAACTTTCACCTGATGAAAAATGGCTTTATTGTCTGCCATAACTGCGATACACTCCTGTTGGAATCTACTAGGGACGCCCAAGAGTGAGTTAGTGAGATCTGGATCTTTCATCAGCTGGTCATTGAGAGAATTTCCCTTTTGCTTTGCCGAGCAATCGAAAACCGCACAAATTTTGCCGGGCTTTTGTGGGTGGTAAATTCCGCGGTGGGGGATGAACCATTTCTTGCCTTCATAGCCTGTTGCCCTTTGGTGATTGGGTACTCTTTGGGCATATCCTTTGACGACGATGTCCTGTATGAAGATCTTGTAGTCATCATGAAATGTTGGGTTCTTCTGTAACTTCTTTAACCACATGGCTTGCTGTTCTGCTTTCACATGGTTGTTTGAAACTGAACATTGCCAATTTTTGAAGGGCAAGGCGATCTCATAATGACCATTCTTCAACTTTCAGGGTTCTTTCATTCTTTCCATAAAACAGTGCTCTTCCTGGGATAACTCGGTCTGGTTTTCAGCAATTGACTCATCATCAAAGTTGCAATTGTAGAAATCTTTTACCAGCTTTTTTAGTTCAGTTTTTACTTCATTAAGAAAGCTTGATGCCCAGACGCCATGGCAATATGGAGTCAACACTCATACACGAAGCCTAATGTCCACCACCCTGGCTATGTTTTATCTCCAAGGGATCAAGGACCTCAGGAGCATCACACATCTAAAAGTAGACCAACATCCACATCAACTCTGGACAGGTGCACTCCACCAAGGTTTGGCCATTTGTCTATGTCATTCTTGGGTGGGTTTGTCTTTACTTGATGCTGGTATGCTGGGCCTTGTGAAAATTGTTGGAAGATCAACAAAAACATTTTCGTCCAAATCAGAAATGGTGAGACAAGTGACGACAAAACTATCCTCAAGACTGTCCTTCTTTTCCAAGGTAGTTAAAGAGATTGTGGTTTTTGTACCATTTGTTCCTAGCTGTCTCATCAAGGCTTCTGTGCAGAATGTTGAGGAACTACCACTGTCTAAAAAAGTGCATATGACTACTGTAGTTTCCCTTCTTGTAAGCCAAACTTTCACGGGAACCACAGCCATAGCTGTCCTCAAAAAGCTTGCATTAGCGTGGGTTTTCCCATCTGGGTTTACTAATGTGTTGTGCATGCGCATTATTGCCTCCAAGTTGACCTCATGCTAGTGGATGGGCTGTCAACTTGCTGACCTGGGGCTACAGAGTTTGTGTGCAGAACCAAGGGATGTCTCCTAGTGCAGTTGGAGAAAGTGCAAGTTATATTGTTAAAAATTTGTTGGAGCTGGGAAAAAACTGCACTGGAGTGGTGACAAACTGTAACGTGAAATCTGGCCGCTGTAGGATGATAAATGACTGCTTGGAAATGGCAAGTGAAAAAACTGACCCAAAAAGGCTTAGATGTCCTGTAGATACTAATGAATATATTACATTAAACTACTTGACTAACATGCTAAAATACATTCCGCGTACGTACTAACATACAAAAATCCTAAAGGGCAAAAACAAAAGACATTAATAAACAAGTGTTTAGTTCTTTACAGGAAAGGTGCATGAGATTTGCCATGCTAAATTTATTGTGTAAATGGCCCCATGTTGCTTGTAAGCCATGTGTATTGATGCACTCAAGGACACAGAATCGCTGGTCATGACCTCAGAATACTAGAGAGCATAATATCAGGTGATCTCGAATTTAATCTCGGCCATAACGTAGGATTTGCTCCTGAGCTTGCTCTTTAGTGTTTGCATTAGCTTCAAGTGGACAGCCATTTCATTAAATTGAACTGTTCATAG